AAAAAAAAAAAAAAGATCAATCCATTAAACTTTAGGGCTTCGTTTGCTTTCTAGATAATTTTATCCACAACCCGTTACTGTTCAACAAAAAAAGGTATCCTATGTTTACAATCTATGATGATAGAGCATTAAAAAAGGGTGTGATTATTTAAACTTGTGTTTTTTTGTATCCATTAAAATAGAAAAGTCAGACCACTATGACCATTTTGCCCATGCACTCCCCCAAAAACATATATGCACATTTTTCTAAACATTAAGTAAACACAAAAATGCTTAAAAATAATAATGATAATAATAATATAATTGAAAAATATATATTTTAAAAAGAAAAGTGTAAGATATTATGCAAAATTGAAATATACAGTACATCTGGATATAAATAGTGCTTGAGGATCCCTAGTTTACATCTATTTTCTTTAACAAAATTACATTAAAAAAAATAAAAATATATTAGGGGGTGAGCATTTCAGAATTGAATCGAAAACAGAGATTTTAAAAATCTTCCAATCTACGAAACTTAATAAGTCAAAATTTAACCACAAAATCTCGGTTCCCAAGCCAAAATAAAAAAAAAAACACTGCCAAAATTATTAAATTAATAAAAATATGTCAAATATTTTTTTTCACTATATGTTTCATCCATTAGATAATATTAAACGTGGTCGTAGAGAAAAAAAAATCATATTTTGTATTTTGTCAAATGCTCTAAATCTCATATCCATATACGAATTGATTAATGTGTAATTTTTTCTTATCATGTCTTATTTTTGTGATTAATTTAATAGAAAAGAAAATGAAGGTAGAAAATAGTCTTTATCTTGTATTTATGGTGGCAGGATTGGTAAATATGTAAAGGTTGGAGGATATTTGGGAAGAAATAATGTAAGATATAATCTGCTGTTTTTTTCAGGCAACTTCCTTGCAGCTGCAAAGCACTTTCATGGCAGCCATTTTAGGCTGATTTTTCATGACTTTTCAACTTAAGTAATTTCTAGGAAAGTCACTAGGATAGCTGTTTTTAGTTCTTATAAATAGGTATGCAGTTTTTGTTTTGTAAACACAGAAAAACTTAATACTCAATACATTGAGTTGTTCACAATCTTCTTCTTTCATCCTAAAAGTGTTCGTTTGTGCCGGAAGCATTTTTGCTTACCTGAGCATGTTCAGGCAGGGACTAACAAGTGGTATCAGAGCCATGGCAAGCCAAGATGTTGCATCTATGGTGCAAGGGAGCGGAGCAGATGCTTCACCGCGCCAGGAGGTCATCATCCACAGGACCGTGCGAGACGTTGGCGGGGCCAACTAGCCGGTCCTCACACGCACAAACTACGGCGAGTGGACGGTGCTGATGAAGGTCAAGTTGCGTGCGCGCAAGCTTTGGCGGGCCATCGAGGAAGGCACCGAGGATGAAGAAGAGGATTGCGCAGCGCTGGAAGCAGTTCTGTCCGCTGTGCCTCCCGAGTACGTAGAGTCGCTGGGCGCAAAGGACTCCGCAAAGGCTGCTTGGGACGCCCTCAAGGCCATGCGCATCGGGTCTGATCGCGCAAAGAAGGCGAAGGCGCAGCAGCTGCGGCGGGAGTACGAGGCGCTAGCATTCCGCGACGGAGAGGCAGTGGAGGATTTCTCGCTCCGTTTGCAGTCGCTCGTCAGTCAGCTGGCGGCGCACGGCGTCACCATCACCGATGAGGAGGCGGTCGCCAAATACTTGCGCGTCGTG